GCAGTTGCAACACGACGCATGTCATGCGTCGTTATCTTTTTTCTCGCCTTCTTTCACAGCTACGTTTAACCCCCCCCCCCCACAAAAAAAGAGGTTTCTGGCAACGCTCGGGCGGTTTTCTCAGAAAGAAGCTCAGGCGGCTTTCCGCTGTGCGTGGGCAACTCGATCTTAGAGTGGCAGGCCAGCTCCTGCGAAGCCTTGGGCGGGGAGTTCAGCATCGTGGAGACAGGCCGCGCCGCCGCGCACTCGTCTCCCAGGTGTTCAGCACCACGTGTCCCTTGTTGGTGGCTTTCCCGCTAAAACATGGACCACTGGGTTCGCTTGTTCTTCCAGAGTCGCAGTTGCCAACACAAGTTGCTCAACTTGTTTGACCTTGTGGTGTTCCGGTGGTCTATTTGGATCACAGTTGACCTTTCATTTTCCAGCCTTGGTCTATTCCCCGCAAGAAGTAGTCCTTGGGTGAAATTCGACACCTTCCTGCCGCCAAAGCCTTTTCCGCACTCAGACAGACCTGCCAAGGCCCGAATGCGAAAGCGAGACATGTTTGTGTCATCAATAGAGTCATGATCTTCCCGAAACATCCATTCCGCCCTTGAATCGCAGCAGAAAATAACGCCGGCCAGGATGAATTTGAGTGGTTTTAGCCTGCCATAGTTCACGGCATTGCACAGTCTTTCGCTCCAAAGAAGGCGATGGCGCTCGTTTCATGATACTTTCTCCTTGGTCGGTTTCCCGTTGCTGGGCCCATGATCTATGCTTCCAGAAATCTATGAAAGTCAAAAAACTTGCTGTGACAACGCGTTCACCATTTCTGCCTTGTTTTCTGGAGGCTTTACAAGGCATACTGCGCCACAGGCACTACAACACACTACGCTCAACCCAGGAAACAGATCCAACGTGCAGACGAAAACCGTTGCGCACAAAAAGGCCGCGCAGTAAAGGCCTTTGTAAGGCCCGAACAGGGACGATCTTCCCACGTCCGGAACAGAGGGTTCGTTCCAGACTGTCCAGAACAAACTTTTTGAGCATAGCTATCCCAAAGCCCGTCGTGCTGTTGACCTTGAGGCCCGAGAACCGCCCCCCAACTTGCGCAACTCGGCGCACCTCCGGCATTGCCATGGTCGAATTCAAGTAGCACATGCCCGCCATATTCCGTTGCTTCAACATGACCACGAGGCCTTCGCTGCCCGCTGGAGTGCGCCGGTCGAGCAACGCCAAAAAACAGGCAAAAACCCGCATTCCTGGCGCAAGCCTGCTCGTGTTGTTTGTTCAGGAACTCGCGGAAACGGCATACCTCGTGTTTTGTTTGTGCTTTTTTTCTCCATTTCCGGTGGCTCGGTGTGAGTGGCCCAAAAATCGCCAGGCCTACCTTTCTGCCTGGACAGCGCCTTCTCGGAGTGGTCGGCGCCAGAGGACCCCATCGCCTATCGGAGGGTCTGGACCTTGAAGACGGCCTTAGGCCGGAGGGATGCGGACGGATGCGGACGCGCAGCGAGGGCCTTCCGCGTGGGGCAAAGCGCGTGGCTCCCAGCCATCCCCCTAGGCGTTTTTTAGCTGTTTAGGTTTTTGGTGAGTGGGGATCTCCATTTAACGCGCTAAAAGTTGAGTTGTTTTTTCTTTTTGCGGGGGATCTGAGGACAGCCCAGGCAGGACGGCAATTGGCAAGTGCACTTGAGTTCGTGGACCGGGAGGCCATGTTGGGAAAAGGTGGGACTCTTTTCGGTGCGTCCACTCAGGAAGTGAGTGAAAGGAAACTGTGTGGGGAGTATCAGCTGGTCAATCCTTGACTTTTTACATCACACGTAAGAACGACAACTAAGACTATGAAGGGAATTCGTATTGGTAGAAGAGTTGGTATGTTGTAATTCAAATTTTGTGCTTCTTCATTTGGATTTCGGCTTCCAAGGCGACAGTCTTGATTAAGGGGGTGGCGGGTGCCAAGAATCGATGAATATTGTTTTGCCAAGCTTTTTAGGCCCCTTCAAAGTAGTATTGGCAGGGGGCGGAAGAGGACAGCCGGGTGTTAGTCACAGCTGATTTATTCACCCGGCAAGCCCTCTTTTAAGCTCCAAGCAGTCACTGGACCAGGAGGTGCACTTGACAGTTGGCTCGCCAGGAACGCTTCAAGACTCAGACTGGCGGCTCCGTGGCGCAAATCATTTGAGGCATTGACACATTGTACAAGCGTTTTCTCTCGGGGGCCCATAGTCAACTCTGGACTCCTCGCGGAATGGATGGGATAAATCTACTCGACCCGCTCCGAGGCCTTGCATTGCCCCATTGGAAATGCCGGGTCCCACTGGGTTCAGGCTTGGCACCTTAAGCTGGTTGGACGTACCTAGAAACCAGCCTTTGCCAGCTTAGCCCGAAATTGTGAAGATGGCTTTGGCAGGTTGTTCAGAAGTCCCCGTTTGCTTCAAGAACAAGTCTTTCCATCTTACCTGGGGCATCGTCCCCACAGCCCCCCAAGTGTTACTGAATCCTAGCCTCTTTTCAGACAACTGTCCCCGAATAGACGTGGATTCTGGCGATGAGGGAACCGACTGGCGTGTTGTCCAAGCGATGGTATGATCGAGTGGATTGAACACCCAGGCCAAGCACAGCTGAGGTACCTGGAGGTCTTCGGCATTTGCCACCCTCCGGCGCCGAGTTGCCTCGCCGCTGGGCATGCAGCTGATGCAGATGATGCAGATGCGCAAGTACAGCGGTCTTTGTTGCTTTTTTTTTTCTGGGGTAGACTTAGGATACATTTTACATTTTACCAGTGACTCAAAGTGAAGCAACACAATAAAATATACATTCTATAACTGGTTGCCTAACTCTAACCGTGTTTTGAAGCACATTTTGCAGTGCACACATTGGGCGGAACCGGCGGATTGAAGGGTGAATGGAGCATCGCCCAGACGCAAACGAGTAGCTGTTGAGTCTTTCACTCCTGGGTGTCCGCCTCAGTCTGCCCTGGCCGAAGCAAAAGCTCCTTTCAGATATTTTTGTTCCAGCGCTGGCCGCCAAAAAAAATCAGAAAGTGTCAGCCTAGGCTAAATCTGCACAGTGCAAATCTTGGCCTTTTCGCGCTTTGCCAAGGCGACGCAACCAGGAGATTTCAGCTGTCTTCTTTTTGCAGTGGTGGTACTCATTTGCAGCCTTTTCAGAGTTTCCCCGAATTTCGATTCAGAGCAAGGTTTAACTCTCGGGCTTCCGGGTTTGCCCAAGCGCCCGTTGAATCCTATCTCCTACTGCTTGACCGCAAATCATGGATGAAGAAATGAGGAGCGGATGGCCGTTTACCGCAGACCAACAAGCGAAGGAGAAAATCAGTGCTTCCATATACACCAGCCAGGCAAGCTTTGCTTCAAGATGTTCGGAAGGAAGTATGTATTCGAGACTTTGTTTTTGCAACGCTCCAGCCTAGTAGTTTGTCCTGTCTCAGACATCAAGGGATCAAGAGGTGAGAAATGCTTTGCTTGTAAATGAGAGTTTTAGGGGGGGCGGGGGGGGGGGGGGGGCGGTGGAGAAAACCGGCATCTAACCACAAGCCAACCAGCAAATGCGAAAACCTGGGTGGAACCCGATTGAGCTTGTAGCCAATCTGTGCTTGCAGATTGGGCCACAGCTATTGGCTACCCTCCCACCAACTAACATGGGTTTGTGCCAAAAGGCCAACTAACCAAGAGGAAAAAATAGTCTTTCTCCAGTGGTCTGTGCACTAACCCATGTGGCTGCGGCTCAAAAAACCGGAGTTCCAAAATGGAACCTTGGTAAGTGGACACATGAACCAAAACCCGCGTAACCCCTCCTGTTTAATTTGGAGCCAAAACCATGTTAGCTGGTGGGAGGCTGCCCATTTTTTCGGGGAATGCCGACCGCAAGTCGGCCTTAGGACTCCGACCTGGCCGACCTGGGCTGGCACTACTTCGCGGACGGAACCTCAGAACCCTTGACCAATGCACTCATTGTTACGCGGCCGCCCTGTGGCCGATAGATGGGGTTTCCCTCTATGTGGTCTAAGAAGAAGATGTATGGAATGCAGCTGCTGAGGTTGCCACTTTTGGATCTTTTGGAGAAGGGGACCCGTTTGTGACAAAGTGGCGGCGGGGATGGCAATCACGTACTCACTCTGGGATGCACCGGGGGTTTGTTAGAGATCGTAGGACATACACGTGCTGTTATAAGGATTTGTAAGCTGCCTGCAAGTGGGTTGTATCTTGGTTGGAAGCTGGTACTTACATGATGTAGGCTGTGTAACATTTACTAGACCTTAGCAAAATCCAAAGCTATGTGCTAGTAAAGTTACATCTTTTATCATACTTTATCTAAGCTTAGCTAAGTGGTTAGCTACATGCAGAGCTATCTATGTTAACCACTTAGCTAGAGGTTAGCTAACTCCAGCTAACTTGCTATGTAAGTGCTGCTAACTAGCTACGTAAGTGCTGGCTCTAATGAGAAAAGGGTTTACTTTCCGTGTTTTTATTTTGTGTTTTTGTATCATGCATAATGGTGGCCGTGCAGTGCTGCTCTGCTTATGCTTTGGCACATAGAAGTTTGAATGTTTCGCAAGCAAGCAAGGTGTAGCCTGCAAATGGCTTGTCGCATGCTTGCACTAGCCCTTGGGCTGCAATTGCAAGCCAACATTGGCTATTTGAGCTTAGTCAAGCAGGTTTGCAAGCCAATAATGGCTACCATTCCACATTAGCTATTCAACTACATGATGTAAACCTTCTCAGCCAGATAGGCTTGAAAAAAATGGCTCCAAGATGTAGCCATTTGGCTAGCCCACCAGCTTTGCAAAATCAGATTCCCAAAATGTGCTTTTGGGCAGCAGGCAACATAGCAACATTATTTCCACACACCATGAAGTCAAGCCTGCAGGCTAGCCACAGGGCATGAAGTCAAGCCACAAGGCTAATAGCATAGCAATCAAGCCGCCAAGCTTCCATGCTACTGGTGCAGCAAGTGTATACGTGTAGCCACTTGGGATCCAGTGCCAGCTAGCTCCTCTTCCAGTCAGCTTCCAAGCCATGGCCAAGGGACCAACCAAAGCTGGCCAGCAGCCCATGAAGACCATGAAGGCCCTGAAGGCAGTGAAGGCCATGAAGGTGATGAAGGCCATGCCGATGAAGGCCATCATGAAGGCGATGAAGGCCACGAAAGCGATGAAGGCCATGCCGATGAAGGCCATGAAGGCGATGAAGGCAACCAAGGCCACGAAGCCGACGCCCATGCCCAAGGATGAGACACCCAAGCCCAAGCCTTGGATTGACCTTCCAGACCACATCACGTGGCGCTTGGTGCTTCCATGCAGCCAAAAGAATTGCGGCTCATGGATCTTCTACCGCCATTACTTGCAGGAGACATGGCCCAGCTGCACCATATGTGGAATGTCCTGGTCCAAGAGCGCTCTTGCAGGCCCCAAGTGGTACAACCAGAACTACAAGTACCAGTAGTTGGGCCCCAAAGGCAAGGCCATGGCCCACCCACTCCATGTTTAGAGCAGCCAGTTTCCAAAGTACACTTACCACCAGTCATGCAGAGCTTTTACCATTTACAGAATTGAGTGTGGGCCATGCCAACTGCCATGCCAAGGACTTGTACCATTTGCACTGCCAAGGCGAGAAAAACAAAGCAGCTGTGTCAAGGAGTGAGTGCCATCATGTACGTTTGCTTTGTCAAGTGCTCATGTCAGAACCATGCATGGTTGGCCAAGCCCCTGGCTACCATGACTTGACACGGCCAAGCCTTTGGCTACCACTTGACACATGCATTACAGCCCATGATTTGGTCAAGCCTGCTTTGGCTACCTAGCTATATGGCTACCCATTATATTGCCAAGCCTTTGGCTACCCGTGACTTGACACATGCATGACAGCCCATGATTTGGTGTTTGGCCTAGCCATATGGCTACCCCCTACATGGTCAAGCTGAAGAAATTTTGATCAAGCAAGACGCCTTGATGCTTGATGATGACCAAGCAAAAGCAACTTGGCAAAGCCATGGCAACAGGAGCCTGCAGGCCTAGCAGTTTACATGGGGCTTGCATGCACAAAAGCCAACCAAGCTTGAATGACTAGCCCTCGGGCTTGCTGACAAGCAACCTGACATTGTGCTCTTTTTTCAATCGATTCAGCTACAAGCTCTCACCTAGCCCTCAAAGGGATAAGAACTTTGTATTCATGGGCCCTGAACTGGCACCAACTTGTGGCACACAGAATTTGTGATGTCTTTACCATGGCTGCTTGGCCAGTTGGCTTGCAAACAGCACACCAGGATTCTTTGTCCCTGGACATTTCCTCCCAATTGGACACTAAGCTGTACACTTCGCCACCAATGCTGGCATGGATGTGGACTTGTCCAACCTGGACCTGGCCACCATGCTCTTCGATAAATACCACATCATCTTTGGAGCATTGGCCTGCCGGTTGCAGGTAAGCAGTTTGGCACACCCACACATCTTCCTGGTCAAAGTGGTGCTGTAGAAACTGTTGCATGGTCTTGGTGGGCTTGCAGTTGGAGAGCAGCCTTGCTGATGTGGAAAATGTATCTGGTGCTGAGAGCGCAAATAAATCATGGCAAATTATTTCCGACATGGTAGACTGTTCGAATTTCACTGTGTTAGATATGGTCTGGCCATATCTCTTCACAATCTTGTGCTTCCTCTCTTGGACAAAGCAGCTGGGTAACATGTTGTGGACAAAGAGGTGGGCTGCCATGTGGGTGCACCAATGAAACTTGGTGGTCATACTGGATGCCCAGTCGGCAACCAAGCAGGCTTGGATGAATCTGTCCTGTGCTGCCTCCATGTGGTTTGAGCTAACCAAGCCCAATGGGACATCAACTATCAAATCCAGAAGGTCTGCCAGCGCAAGAAAGGCATGGCACTGTTGCTTGCATAGCTGCTGGGGCAAGATCATGGTGTGCACCCAATATGCAAGGATTGGATACAAGGCAAGGCCCTCACTGGCAGTTGTTGTAGCCTTGGCATTGGCCTGTTTGCGCTTCTGGTTGAACAAACTGGCTAATTTTTCTTTCTTGGGGACATTCCAGTTCTGGACAAAGGTAAGAAGAAGTGCATACATGTCCAGCTTGAACTCATCCTGGAGAATGTCAATCAAATGGTAAGTAATGGTTTGGAAGCAGCCCTTCACCAAGTATGTGTGCATCCAATCATGGACAATCTGTTGGACTGGCAGCATGTCATGTGCCAATGACTGGTCAAAAAGCAATGCATGGCTGTTGAAGACAAAGCCAACACTTGTCTCCTTGATGGCAAAGTCCCTCTTGGACATCCTGTGGTAGGCTTGCTTCAGCCTGTGGCATGTGCCAAGCACATCCTGGTCTGTGGCCTTGATGATACTCTTCTTGTCAAAAGTGGAAGCTGTAAGGAGCTGGCACCCATCTTCATCCTGAAATTTGGCCTTCTTGGCATAAAGGTTGAGGCACAAATGACAAAATTTGTGGCCAGTGTGGCCCTTCAAAGAGAACAACGTTTGGTGTGCAAGGCCATCTTGCAGGAACATGCCAATTTTCAGGAACAACCGACTGCTGAAGCCATGGGTGTCTTTGAGCATGACCCCAACTTCTTTGGTATTGGCAGCTGGGCTGTAGAGACATTCCTTTAGAATGGCTGCTGCAACTTGGCTCATGCCTGCTTCCAGCTCTTGGACCTTGTTTGATCTCATGGCCAAAACACAGATCCATGCTTGTTCCTTAGATAAATGGATGGCACCGTACTCTTTGAGGCTTAGGTAAACCACCTGGACTTTCCTGGAAGTGTCTGCTGAAAGTGGGTTCCCACACACAACTTCATCACTGTAGAAAATGAGGTTGTATGGCATATCTCTTGAGCATGGCTTGGCATGGAATGTTGCTTTCAGCAGGTCATGGTATCCGCCTCCAAGTTCAAACAATGCTTGCATCATGGTCAGGAAGTTCACCATGATACATGGTTGCTTTGAGCCATCCTTGGCAACCAACTGGATTTCTTTCAGCATTGGCCCATACGCAGAATGAGACTCCAACTTGGCATTTCTGGCTTGTCTCACATGGTTCCTGCCATGGAGGTCTGGGACCCCTTGCTGCTTGATTTCAGCCAATATGGATGCCAGTGAACTTGCACTCACATGTGGCACCCTTCTTCTCAGGCCTTCCAGCTTTTGGAGCTTTGCTGGCCTCTCATCCATTGCCATGCCAAGCTATATGTAAGTGGCAACTGGTCAAAACCAAAGCTGGCTGCGGTCATCACACAGTCACACAACACATGTTTCTGATATATAGCATCAACGTGTTCAATGCCTTCAGAATATTCAGTGGTACATGTGCATTCTGGAGGATTGCTCTGGTTCATGGGCTTGATCCGATGGGCTTGAGCCAAGAATCATGCTGAATGTCATGTGCCAATGTCCACATACTTGTGCAGTCTTGAGGCCTGACCCAACAACATTGGACTTGTTTTTCTCAATGCATGTCTGCGTAATGCCATTGCCAACCCCTGGAACATGAGACTTGTGTAGCCTTCAGGTTCAAAGTGCAAGCTTCAGTCCAAATGGTGCCATGCTACAAAATAGTCAGGTGAAACTCATGCATGCATGGTGCTTGGTGTAGCCCTTCGGCTTGGCATTGCCCCTGGCTGTATATATACTGGCTTCCAACCGCATGCAAGTCCACGTGAGCAACAACTTGTTTTGCCCACAGCACAAGGCCACCATTGTTTGCAGGTGTCATGTACACCTATTGCCCCATGAATTGGTTCCACTTTTGGAGCGCAATCCTGGCTACCTATTGCCCCATCCATTGGTTCCACTTTTGGAGCGCCTTGGCACATGCAATCCTGGCATTGGCCTTGGCATCATCATCAGTCATTCCCTGGGCAATTGCATGTTTGCGACATTTCTGGTAGTGGCCACTGGTCCATGACTCTTTGGT